TAAACTTTTTAACTTTTAATATAATGTTCTAAATTATCACTTAACGAAAGTATTTTAAAATGTTACAAAAAATATTAAATTGTCATACAAAATCTATGAAACATTTTAAAAATATTGTAAAAGAAAGTTTATAAATAATTGTATGAAAGTTATAAAAAAATTGTATGAAAATATAAAAATAAAAAATAAAAAATAAAAAATAAAAGAAAATAAAAAAAGGGAAGAAAAAAAGCTTATAAGAAATTTTTTTAATATTTAGCAAATATTTGGTTAAAAAAAACTTGTATGAAAATTATATGAAACTATAAAAAAAAGTTTAAAAAAATTATAATCAAAGTTTAAAACATTATATTAAAAAAACCTATAAGATTTTTTTTTTCACGTTTAACCATTTAACTTGTTAAATATGTTCACATGTCACCATTAGCGCCTAAGATAACAGTTGACAATGATAATATGTGAACACATTTTTAATAAATTAAATGATCAAATATATAAAAAAAAGTTACATAAACAAGAACCATACCAAAAAATAACTATCTTTCCAAAAATTTTAGAGAAAATTCGAGTAATAATCAAAAAAAGTGGGTGGTTTGAAGAAAATAACCAATGAAAAACACATTTCGGAAAATGACCAAAGGATCCGCAGAGCACCCTCTGCGGATCCATTAAAGCCTCTGCGGATCCAGCTACAACTCTGTGGAATGTTGGTTTTTTAATTTTTTTATTTTTTTTTTCGTTTTTTTTGCGTTTATTTTCGTTTATTAATATTATTTTTTTTTAAATACACTTATACCTTATGTGATTATTATGTAAAAAATTTGACAAAAAAAGGTTAAAAATAATGAAATGTTTTATGTAATACGTTTGCTACTTATGTATGTTTTTCATGTATTTGTACTTATAAATAACGTAATACAAACCGGTGCATATAAATAACCTAATTAAAATTATACAAATATTCCATGGTTTTTATAGGTTACAAAACATACCTTAAAAAACATAAACATACAACCTTCATAATAAACATACTTTGAAATAAACTTCATCCATTCAAATCGAACCACGGAAACTTTGATCTGTTTTCGTATTCCGTCCATGGGTTATCTGTTGCTTGTGTCCCTAGGTTTACTGTCTCTTGCGTCCATTGGTTATCTGGCTCTTGCTGCCATTGGTACTCGGTGCAACCCTGCCATTGGTTCTGTGGCTCTTCCTGCGGTTGGTATTCGGTCTCTTGCGCCCATTGGTTATGTGGCTCCTGCTGCCATTGATGTTCGGTCTGTTGTGTCCATTGGTTGTCTGGATGCTGCTGCCATTGATGTTCGGTCTGTTGTGTCCATTGGTTGTCTGGCTGCTGATGCCATTGTTGTTCAGTATGTTGCGTCCATTGGTTCTCTGGCTCATATTGCCATTGGTTTTCGGTCGCTTGCGTCGGTTCCTCTTCTGTCGCTTTTGTCCCACTCCCTGACGCCCCGGTACGTTTTTTAGTTTTACTTTGGTTCTTTGGAACGATTTCCTTACACGTCCTTGCATTATGAGTTGTGTTATGGCATCTAGTACACCTTCTTATTTTTTGGTTCCTCACCTTGAGATGGAATACGATTGGTGTTTTTTGGTCTACCGGATTGACGTATTTCCATCACAGGAGGGTTAACAACCATAAGGTCATCCAGAACCTCCCAATCACTAAGTTCTGAAAGAGGGTATACGGCTTGCTCATACGTTCTTCGATATGTTTCAATTATATGCATCTATAGCCATATGCCCACAATGATCATTTTTCAAGTGTGTTAAAACCATTATCACATGACCACATGGCAAACCAGTTAGTTGCCAATATCTGCAAGAACAAGTCTTTTCCCTCAAATTCACTATGCCCCCGCTTTTGAAGTCATGCACTTGATATGTTGTATTGTCAACACCGGATACCGACCATCCTTGAATCCCCTCTTTATTTTTTTTTAACCATATCTTCAGCCCACTTCGTAAGTATTGTCGTACTTTTTTCTGTTAAAACAAACATATATTATTATATATGACATTTATCATATAATTTAAAATTAAACATAATCATACCTGCAGCCATCCGCTGTTTGTAAAACCATTTTTGCATAAGTGCGCGAAAGAACTCAAGAAGTGGTAATATAGGCAACTTCCTTGCTTTATTTGATACAACATTCATGGACTCCGCACTATTTGAGGTCATATAATCATACCTCGTGGTAGGGCAATACGCTCTGGTCCATTTCTCACGTGGAATTTGACTGAGATATGTCGCTACATCATCTCTTATATTACGAAGTCTCCCCCAATAGAATTCAAACTCAATGGTTTTGTAAGCTCTTACCAGCTTCCAAAACAAAATTGCTGTTTTTTTGGTTTTTTCCAAAGGTGTGGACTATGTTTCCTATTAGATGAAAACCACACAATCCATGTTGAGCATTTGGAAAAACATTTTGAATACTTACAGCAATTGCGGGTGCTCTATCTGTAACCATTGTCAGATCTTCCACATCACCAATGCATTCATGTAGTTTTTCAAGAAACCATATCCAAGAATCTGTAGTCTCTTTTGGGCAAATTCCATACCCGATAGGCAAGATCTGATTGTTGCCATCCATGGCTACTGCATGCAAGATGGTGCCTTTGTACTTTCCCTTCAAATGAGCACCATCCATAATAATAACTTTTCTACAACACTCTCTGAAAGCACGTATTCGCAACAACAATATAAAAACCGTTAATATATCAACAATATAATTTGTTTATAAACATTTAAGAAAATAACAAATATATTTAAAAATATATTACAGCGCATCCAATAGCGAAAAAGCGATACCCAAAACGATCATCCGAATCAGTTTTTATGTACGCCACAGTACCATGATTATGTTTCTTCTGATTGTGAAAATAAATTGAAAGTTTGGAGAAACTTTCTTCGAGGGTCCCCATTATCAATCCCAAAGCAAATTCTCTAGCATGTCACGCTTGTGAATAACTCATATTTATTTGTAGCAAAGCATTCATATCTCTAATTATATCATTAGGCTTCCAAACTCTCAAACTTTCTTGACCCATAATGTTATGTATTATGGTTCCCACAACTTCGCTATTTGCTTGCCTATGATTTGGGTGTATAAGTAATGAAGAACATGTATGCTCGTCATTAAACGTCTTAATTTTAAACATTTCTGTTCCTTTAATGACACATGCGTATAAACGCCAATTACAGTTTTCTTGCATACAAACAACCTGGTACCGAGATTTTGAAAATTTTTAAACCTTTATCTGAAACTTTTCTCTAACGGCTTTGAAGTTAACAGCAAATGCTAGCTCTTTTTTGGTGTTATAGGTTTGATTGACAATTAATTTATCATTCGGACCTAAACTGTGAAATGGTCCAGGTTCAAGAATATGTTCTGGACAATTAGGAATAGAAGGAATACAATACCATGGATTAAAAGCAGTTTTTCGTTGCGTGTACTCATCATCCGATCACCCTTCATTTGATTTTTCCTCACATCTTCGATCATCAATTTCAGGAACTTCTCCAAACTTGAACAAATTTTCACGTTGTAATTCAGTCATGCCCACTTTTGGTTCTTTATCATTATCTGATACAAAAGTGTCATTCCCTCTTCCCCTTGAACGGTTTCCATCACATTGGCTTTCTCTACGACCTCTATTAGTTTTTGTTGGATTAAACTGGTTGTTAACCACTGCTTGTTCTTCATCTTCTTCACCTACCACTGTTAAATACAAATGCACCGTCTTCTTTGATTCAGACATTACATGTCTCAATTGAAATACATCAGTTTCATCTCCAAGCTCCATGATATACTCTAACTCCGGGTGTTTAAAAGACAAACATATATGACTATTTAACACACCCGCCTTACTTCTAACCATTTGTAATAACATTTCATGGTCAATGTTAGGAGGAAGATTTAAACCATAGTTTTTCACATTATTTCTAACGTAAACCTCAACTCCATTAACTAACTGCCACGACCCTCCTGTACACAAAATAATAAAACTCATTTTACAAATCACTCTCTACAAACACAACAAAAAAACAACTTCTACTAGTAATTGAAACTCACAAACTCACAAATAACTACTTAAATACGTCTATAACTTCTATAACTGATCCGCAGATGTGTACACTGATCCTTAGAGGTGTGCACTGATCCGCAGAGGTGTGCACTGATCCGCAGAGGTGTGCACAGATCCGCAGAGCTGTACGCTGATCCTTAGAGGTGTGTACTGCTCCGCAGAGCTGTACACTGATTCTTATATATATATATATATATATATATATATATATATATATATATATATATATATATATATATATATATATATATACTAACCCGATCAATATATTTCCAATGTGGTCCATCAACCATCCCGGCTGCTATACGCCTCAAATATCTACTGATTTAATTAGGTTATTTATATGCACCGGTTTGTATTACGTTATTTATAAGTACAAATATATGAAAAACATACATAAGTAGCAAACGTATTACATAAAACATTTCATTATTTTTAACCTTTTTTTGTCAAATTTTTTACATAATAATCACATAAGGTATAAGTGTATTTAAAAAAATATATATTAATAAACGAAAATGAACGCAAAAAAAAATTAAAAAAACTAAAAAACCAACATTCCGCAGAGCTGTAGCTGGATCCGCAGAGGCTTTAATAGATCCGCAGAGGGTGCTCTGCGGATCCTTTGATCAATTTTCGAAATGTATTTTTTCTTGGTTATTTTCTTCAAACCACCTACTTTTTTTTTTGTTATTACTCGAATTTTCTCAAATTTTTATTCATAAATTCTAGGTTCTACTTCTACCCACTATAGTATTATTATTATTTATTATTATAAACAGTTAAAGACGTCAACCTTCCCGATTAAGTGCTCATCTATAAATTCGCAACCTCGTCCACCCTTCTTCCAAATTCTATTTTCTACAACGCCAATTCCATTTCCGATGACCGAGGAGTTTCAAGAATCGGAGGTAATCTTCCCGGAAAAGCCCTCCGGGAACGGAAAAGAACTCCGATATCCAAAAGTCGATAAAAGAAAATCCGATAAGAAAAAGCTGAAGAAAAGTTCAGTTCCCATGAGCATTCGGGAAGAATTTTCCGACAGTTCATGGATTCGTCAGTATTTACAAACACATTCCATCGAAGACGATGATGCAGATGAAGATGAGAAAGTGCCGCCCCACGTGATCTTGGAGCGCCGGATCGCCGGAAAAGCTGCGTTTTCCCTTTGCTCCGGCAACGGGAGGACTTTGAAAGGAAGAGATTTAAGTGAAGTACGGAATTCGATCCTTAGGATGACGGGATTTCTAGAATCCTGACATTTCTTCTTTTAAATTTTACTTTTGGATTAGATTGGGTTTTTGGATTCGATTGTTGCATCAAGATTTTTTTGCTACACTAATGATGTCATCAAACCAAGGTAGCCTAAGATTTTAATTAAATTCTCCTCAAGATAACTGGAATGTAACCGAATCCAAACTTGAGTTGAGTTTACAAAGATGTATGATTAGTATATGAAAACAAACAATTTGTGCTTAAATATATAATAAAATAGATAAATACATTATTAAATGTTTTTCCTATTGAAATTGTATGAATGTTGTAAACGTTTTGTGTATTGAAAGATAAAATAACATTTTTTTTATGATTACTTGACTTTCGGATAATTACATCAAATCATAATGAGAAAATCATTTTTTCTTTTGAACACAAAAAGTTGATAATACGTTTTTCAAATATACATGGGCTCTTTAATATTTTTCTTGTTAGATGTTACATTTAGAAGCCTCTGAGTCGATATGGCCTTCTTTAATATGTATCTTACCGGTTAGATTCAAGGGTGTGTCTGAGTCAGTCAGACTTGACTCAATAAAACCTCTGACTCAATCAACAACTATCAAACAACCTCAACGTTGAACAAAACATGCAAAATGTTATCAAATATTTGTTGTCAAATCATTAGGAAATATAATCGTGCCCCCTTAAATTAGTATGAGATTTAAATTACAAAATTTAATGGAAAATATGGAAGTTTGTTATTAAACACGAACGTAAAATGAACTGTTTCTCTTATGTTCAACGTTATGCTCACAAAGTACACAGTAACAAATAATGATTAACTAATAGCAAAGTTAGAAAAAGAACTTGTATTATTTTTATGATTATCACTTGATAAAACAATAATTTTTTTGAGATTTGATATTTATCATGATAAGCACAAGTTGTTACACATAATTGACAAAAGTATATGGATGACTATTGAGAACGACATAGTGGTCGTACGGATGTAACACTTGTTATTGATGTTGAGAAAAATACGGCTTAAATATTATTGTTGGTTTATTCAATTGTTCATAATATATTGATTATGAATAAATTAATGGAGTTTAATTGGATGTAGGGAATCGAAATGCTTGCTCTCTTTTGGTGAGAGTCTAAAAAACGTAAACAACTCAAGAACTTTCCAACATCATCATTTCATTCACTATGAAAGATATGGTTTACATCAACAGATTACACCTGAAACCTCACTACATATCACAGTCACACTCATACTACATAACAACTAGAAATGTGTACATCAAACACGATATATGAACAAACCCTAGATAGAAAACCCTAATCTAAATGACCAAACACCCAACTACAACACTTAAGTATTCCAGATAGAAAGATCCATGGATACGACCCGAAGTCCGCGTACGAACTTGACTTCTTGCATAAAAGATACACAAACACACCCCCACAAATATACACTTATACATAACTTACCCAATAATCTATAAATTAATGTTTAAGTTTGATTATGAAAATATTAACCTTTTAACACGCCCCCTCAAACTAAACATTAATTTGAAAGAACATATAAGCAGTTAATTTCCTTTAAAAACATCAACCATATTAAGACGATTTACAATATATTCCTGTTGATTACTTCCAAGAGCTTTGGTTAGAATATCTGCATTTTGGTTTGAAGACTCAATTTTATTCACTTTTAAAATTTCATTCTCGATCTTTTCCCTCACTAAACGAATATCAACTTCAAAATGTTTTGTTTTTTCATGAAATACAGGATTCAATGCCAATTTGATTGCTGACTCATTATCACAAAAAATATCAACCGGTAATTGAGATTTTATACCCAAATCATTAAGTAATTTTAAATTCCAAATTATTTCACATGTAATGCTACCCAAAGCTCTGTATTCTGACTCTGTGGAGGAGCTGGTGGGTTTTAGCCAAAAGAACATCCTATGTGCTCATGCAAACCCTAAAGCTTGGATCTAGGCTTCTCTATTGTACATGCAATTCATCCAAGACTTTCTAACCCTAGATCTAGCATACATGATTCCAAATTGACATAAGAAACCAGATCTAGATAATTACCTCTTGAACAATAGCTTGAATCTTCTTGTTCTTGGAGCTTAGAGTCACAAGTGTCACTCCTCTAATGGCTTACAAACACCAAAGAAGCAAGAGGATGATATTGGAGAGAGGGGAGAGGCACAAATTCGGCTATGATCTTCCTAGGGTATCAAGTGTGATGGGAATATTGAGTTATAGATCGATAGATTCTAAATAGAAAAACAAGAATGAAGTAATCAAAGAACACAAGAATGGATCAAATGGTGTCGAATGATTAATAACTCACACCTCAGAAGAGCTCGATGAAGAACTTCGATTGTAGAGGTGTGTTTAGGGTTACAATGCAAAAGCAATTAATGAGAACGATAACATGAAAGCTATACATGCATGCATAATATATACGCTAACCCTATTGATAAACCACGGTTGGACAAGCCCAAACCGGGTAAACAAAATAACGACACTAAGCACATATGACGCAACACTCTAGACCCAACAATCTCCCCCTTTGCATCAATAGAGGCGAGATACTAGTTCGGTTGAGTAAGAGCAGACTTCTTCACTGTCTTGAATACATTCGGTATAATGGCCAAAAGAGTGTGACGAAATGCTATATACCACCGAAGCACGTCAGAGAAGTTCTTCTTATCTGAATCACTGTTCTGTTTACACCTGTGAGTTATATCAAGTACGTGCTCCAAGCAAGTTGTGGAGAACAGGTGCTTGTCAACAAGAGCAAAAAGGAAATTTTCACCTTTGCCTCTAGTGAACATTACAGTGTGATGAACCGGATCTATCTTGCCCATTTTCATCTTATTTAGATCACTTGGCTTCCCGATAGGCTTCACAATAGGCTTCTTTCTCATAACATGTGCAATCTCCTGATCCAACTTAGCAACTTCATGGATGTAGGAAGCCAACATTCTTTTAAGGTGAGCAAGGATCGGCTCATACTGATGTTGATTGGTAAGCAGAATGTTGAACAGCAAAATCCAATCGTGTGGGTTCAGGTTTGGAAGATCAGCTAACGAAATCATATGAACTTAGTTATCCGAACCTCGGGTCACCTTGAACTTCACATTGATAAATTTTCCAGCAACAGTTGGTTTCAATACCTTGACAGAGGTTATTTTCTGAGCACTCCATGTCAAGTATTGGGGTTGGGCAAATTCAAGATAATAGTCGATTAGATCTTGATCAACTTGTGGATGAGGTGAAGGGACTTCAACCGTGGAATCAAAACAATGGAACACGGATGCCCTACAGGTGATGGGCATGTCAAATTGAGAATCCCTCGAGTTTTCCCAGTCAAACGAGGCAACAGGTTCCAGCCACTGAGTACTTGGAGACTCAATCGCTTCTTTGATTAATCTTTCCCGGGTCCAAGGGGGAAAGAGAGCTTGCTTGCAAACCAGAGCATCTTGAGCTTCTTTCTGCTTTCACTCTTTCTCTTCTTCCTCTCTGGCTATCCTCAGATTTTCATTGAGCTCTTTATCCCTTTTCTTCCTCTTTAAAGCCCCAGCAATCGTTTCTTCTTCTTCGTCTTCACTATCTTCCACAACACCCTTCAATTTTTCCTATCCACCAGAACCCGAAGCTGCATTAACCTTCGGTTCGGTTTCGATAATGATTTTGTGTGGATTTGGAGAATTTTGAGCAGCTTCTCCCCCTTGTTGCGGAGTGACCACAGACTCCGTAACACCTTGCATCTGATTCAATATCTGAATAGTAGGAAGAAGTCTAGCAGTCAAGTGATTTCGGATAGTAAGGGTTAGAACAGGATCATGAGCATTAACAAGATTCCTGAGAATTGAGAGAACATCCCCAGCACAACTTTTAAGAACTTCCCGTTCAGTCTTAAGTGATGCAATTTCAGTCTGGGCTTGAGAAAGAAGAGTAGACCGGACTTCAAGTTGTGTAGTCTTTTGAGCAAGTTCGTCCATAAGCTTCTTTTCCGTGGCAAGGTCAACCTGAAACTTATCAAGGCGAGAGTTGACCGAAGTGAGAAGAGAAGTGTGATCAACTTGGAACTCAGTGCGAACAGTATCAAATTTTGCTTTCTCTTCTTGAAGGGACTTGGAGAGAGAATCAACAGAAGCATTAACCTTTGCAGCATTGGAATCGGCATGGGCTTTGAGTGATTCCAAAAAGATCTTTGACTCACGAACGAGATCTGTGACTTCTGTTGTTGCGTTCTTGCAGATAGATTTGGAAGCTTCCACAGCCTTTGTAGATTTATCAATTGAGTCTGTATATTGCTGAAGAGCAGTATCAAGAAAAGCTTTTAAAACAACATCGGAATAAGTTGTTGAAGTACCAAGCAATTTGTCAAGCTTATCATGAATATCTTGTAAATGTAGTTTAGTCACCGGAGCATCATCAGCATCTTCACTTGGAAGTCGATAAGGACTATAATAAGTGGAATCAAAATCAAAGTCTGCACCTCCCAGAATGGGCTCAGAATCTGTTGAAGGTGATAGTGAGAGAGGTTTAGTGGTAACAGGGGTGGTAATGCCAGCGGTATGTGCCCCCGTATTAGATACGTTGACACTCACCGAAGGGCCAGTGGTTGTGGTTGTTGTAGCTTGAGAAAAGATTGGTGGTGGTAGTGGAGCAGTAGTAGTAGGTTGAGAAGTGACAGGTGGAGGAACGAGAGCAACTGAGATTGGTATAGTGGTTTGTTTTGGAGAAGGAGGAGGAGTAGAAACATGAACCTGTACGTCAGGAGTTGGAGATCGGGGAGGAGTATTTCCCCTTGGTGAATGTTCGTGTTGAACTTCCTCTTCTTCATTGTCTTGTTGCTCCTCTTCATTGGAAACAGAAGGCGTTTGTGCCTTTGGACGCTTTGCCATCTGCTTAACCTTTTTCTTTTTGGGAGCCGAAGGTGCAGCCTTATCAGCCTTACGCTTTTCAGGAGAGGAGGGACCTTCGGTCTCGGCTTTCTTAGTCTCCG